GTAATTAAATTACGTGACACCTTTACATGTAACTAGTGTTTCCCCAACACTGGTTAAGGCCACCTAATACAATGTGGGATCAAAGTAACTAAATCAAATTAAATGTAATCCCTTTACTCTTTTTCAGCAAGGAAGCGAATTAATAACACTAACTACTTACTTTGTAACTAATTACACCTAACACTTATTGCCAACGCAAGAATTTTAACAGAACAAGCACCAGCATACCTCGAGGATACCAATGACTATTTAAGAACAAAAACTCTCAGTAAATGAACACATTCGCTTTCCTACTGGAGTCAAGCAGGGCTCTCCGTCATGGTGTTGGGACTCAGGTAGGTTCATTATTCACACACCTCATCACTTCTGCATGCCGGACAATGGAGTACCTTTGCCATCTCGAGGGAAGCCGCTTTTGCTCCTGCAGGCCGTTGGCGCTGATGAAGCGTGGCGCTGCAGTCATGTTACAAGATGGACTTTTTAACCCCCTCTAGAAGGTGAGTAATGGGCCATACGGGTCCAGTCGGTGATTTCCATTAAGGGGGTTTCTAGCCCTCAGCGGTCCTTTGGTATTAAAAATCGCAGGGCTTGTGTTTCACGCTGCCTCAGAACTCCCCATCTGGATCGGAGAATTCGCTGAACGACAAATACCGATGTTGCACTGAACGAATGCAGATGTCAGGACGACGCATCGCGAGCAGGGCCACTTTAAACGCTCGTATTTCAAACTAGTGACAAGAAACTGAGAAGGTTTATTGGTGTTCTTTGGAGCCACATATGCCGGGGAGGAAACTGAGGTGTTGTGATGTATACATTTCACAAGAATGGAAAGATTCATAAATGGCGTTCAGAGGACACGAGTCATTTAGCAGACGCTTTTATGTAAAGTGACGTACAAATGAAGATAATAGCAGCACTCCAGCTCACTAGAAAGCAGCAATATATAAATGCCATGAAAAGTCTAAGTTGGTTCAGCTTTATATGTGTTAGGCAAAGATTAAATCACATCCAAAGAATGCAATATGTGTGTAATACACACACAAACGTAAAAACTAAAATCACGCTAAACCTTTAACATATACACTTAAATGAATCATTTGTATCATGTACATACATATAACTAGATATTAATAAACATTTTCTTAAAGGGAGACTTTCTGTCGGTGAAACCTCTCTGGGTTATTACGTAATTACGCCGTTATGCAGATTGAACTATTTTGCTACATTAGCCCCTTCTGGTTGTATGTCTGATTTGCAGAATTGTGTTATTGCTGCCTAGTTTTGCAGCCTTTTTCAAGATTTAAGTTGAGTCTTGTGTCTCCAGAATGTTTCTGTGAAGTATCAGCTCAAAACACCCATCAGATTATTTATTATACCTTTGTGTATATTGGAAATTTGAGCTTTGTAGCTGTTTTGATGCCTGCGACTTTAGTGCAAATCAGCTGCTTCTGCCCACCCACTGTTCCCATGTGCGTGTCAGAGCTAAAGAGGTTGCTCACTATTGCTATGATGGGTGTAGCTTCTCCTGCTGCATCTCACGGATAAGCAGCACAGTATCAGACAACAATGAAGCAGATCTCCTTTATACTACAGTAAGAACTTTTCCAATGATTATTTGATATATTGGTTGTGGAGATATTTCAAGCCTCTTTAACAAAGAGTCACACTCACAACGTCGTTATAAAGTTCGCACACATGCACACACAGCTATGCACTGTTTGCATGTGACTGGTGTATAGATATGTATGGATATCTGTTAATGTTAATGTACAAAATAAACCTGATTTGATTCCGTGAACCGTCTTTTTTATAATTGTACTGACATGCAGCTGAGTGAAGTATTACGAAACAATTTTATTGTCATTATTACAAACATGCGCTGTTTTAGAAACGCTTTAAACTTGTAAAACTCATTATTGAGGTGCTGCTGATGACAGAGAGCTGAACAGATCTTTTAATCCCTGTTGCTTTGCGCATGTCCTGTCTTGTTGATATGATTATACACATTACTATGGAGACATTTTAATACGCGACAGTCAATAAAAAAAACTGCACTCAGACAAAGTTGCAGTTTGCCTCAAAAAAAGGACAGATTTGGATGCTATTTTAACATCAGGACATAAAAAAAAAAAAAAAAAAGAGACTTACTTAACATTACTCCAATTAACTGTGGACACACTTTACCTACATGCAGTTCTGTCCAAACAGCTTACAAAAAGAGGATTTTCATCATATGTGCCCTTTAAAGGGGACCTATTATACAAAAATCACATTCATAAGAAGTTAAAACAAAAAAAGTGTGTGAAAAAAAAGTGGCGAAAGTGTATAAATATAGCCAGCCTCTAATGATAAAAATTAATTATATGTTTTTTTTATAATCACTACATAAAAAACAGCTGCAGAAACACTTTGATTTAAGAGGGAAAGGCCCGCCCATTAGGAATGTGCTCTCCATCATTAGCATATAGGTAGCCCTGAGTGAGAAGCAGACGTGAGCCATTACAGTTTTTACCTGCTGAAGATAGTCAGTGACTAAGACGATTATAAATGAGGAGTCTTACGATGCACAAATGAACACTGTAGTCTTCATAGACCAGGAGTGGACAATTATTTTTCCAAGGGGCCACATTAGAGACTGGGTCCGTTTCAGCGGGCCTGACCAATACAGTCAATAAGTTATTATTTAAAAAAAATAAAAATTATAATAATTCAGTGAAACTATTCAATAAACATTTATAAAAACACTGAAGATTATTTTAGGTATTTTGAAGACCAGCATCACAATATCAACTTCATATAAATGCCACAGGGTTTGTTTGATTGACTCGCCTTAGTTCATTTTTATTTATTTATATATTTTAAATGTTCAGTGAGAGAATTCTGGTCTGTGTTGTGCTGAATGAGTGCACTGAAGTCAGGTTGAATGTGAGGCCGATAGGCTATGTGATGTAAAGATCATCAATGAGAGAGGATCAGTATCTGGAGTTGCCTGGTTGGTTCCTGTCATACGATTCGTGATTCACTCACGGCATTCAGAAAAGTTTTGTTTTTTTATCTGACAGGTAGCTCTCTGCAACTCTCACATGGTCAGCCACTGAAACCAAGCAGAGTTGCGCCTGGTCAGTACCTGGATGGGAGATGCATGGGAAAGCTAGGTTGCTGCTGAAGGTGGTGTTAGTGAGTCCAGCAGGGGGCGCCCAAATTGTGGTCTGTGTGGGTCCCTACAGTGACAGGGATTCTATATTGCTCAGCGAGCACCAACTTTCGGATGAGACGTTACACCAAGGTCCTGACTCTCTGTGGTCTGTAAAATCCCAGGATGCTTTTTAAAAAATAAAAAATAAAAAATAGAAGTTTAACCCCCACATTCTGGCCAATCACAGTCTACAAATCATCCCCATAACTTAATCGGCTTCATCACTCGATCTCCTCTCTACCAATCAGCTGGTGTGCAGTCTGACACAATATGGCTGCCGTCACGTCATCCAGGTGGATGCTGCACACTGGTGGTGGATGAGGAGATTCCCCCCAATGTGTAAAGCGTTTTCCAATAAAGCCCCTTATAAAAAATTATTATAATTGTATTATTATAACTCACGGCACCTGGAAAACACATGCGTGAAATAACGCATATGCATCCCTTCCTATTTGCTCACTGAAGTCACATGTCTCCATTTGAAATAAAGGCGCTATATGTGAAAGTGCCCTTTTGTGATTCACCATATCAGACCTGCGCATTGCAAGGCCCTGTTTGTGGTTGAATTTAAATTAACTGAATCCTTCACCAGGGCCCATCAAAGTAGTCCAGCGGGTCGCAAAATGCCCAGGTCTACCAGAGCGTTAGTCCTGTTTTAAATCTGCCACTATGCTGACGCAGACATTTATAGCTCCGCCCTCTTTCGAAAACATCACAATATTATTTGAATTGAAAGCGTCAGTCATTAAAACAGCACAATTATTAATAAAACCCTAACAGGGGTAGTTTCAAAGAGTTACAAAAATGATTTATGTTGTATTTTGAGCTGAAACTTCACTTACATCAGAACAAAAACCAGCTGGGTTTCTAGAAAAAGAAAAACAAGATCTCTGAAATCGAAAACGTTTCTTCCCAATCCTTTTGAAATAAACCTAGAGAAGAAAGTGTGCTGCACAGTGTCAGATGAAATAATAAAGATGAACAACATGAAATGTAAGTGCTCTGGTTCTAGTGCTTCCTTTCATTCCCAACAATGATTAGATCTTTTGTTGGAGTCCCTGAGGAAACGTAATGAGGTCTTTGAGGAACCAGACAGACTTAAAAACACTGAGAGCACTAACGAATGTCCAAAGTCATGTGGTGTCCTATTAGCTGAAGCAAGGAAGGAGTTGGTATATAAAGCTATGTATATAAAGCACACAAAAACTTAACCTTAGAAAAACATCATAAATCAGTGCAATTCAAATAACTTGCTTGATATTCAAGGTATAATGTACAAATTATAGCTGAAATTCTTACAAGATTAGTGATGGTCATGTTTAACCTTCATAAAATGTTGATTTTTTAAAATAAATTATACATTAATTTAATAATATACATATAATTTAAATAAATATTACATTATTACAAATATTACATTAATGGATTCATTTTTATATTAGAGGTCTCAGATTTCGTCAAAAATTGTGAAATGCAGTCTAAAATGATTTAAAACATTAAAATTACATCAAAATTAAATGAATAAGGCACTTTAGCTAGCTTGGAAACTATGTTTTTGTCTTAAAAACATTTATTTAAGCAAAGTCAGGTTAAAAATACATCCGCAGCATTATTAGACATGGCCAATACTGTCAAAACAAGATTATTTTCACAGATCTCAGGCTATTTTTGTACATCTCAGATATATTTAGGTCTCAGTGGTTTCAGTAATTCTGCTTTACTTCTCACTTAGTCAAGGACTGATCAACATTGCCTTTGAGTGGTGTGCTCAGAGACAGATCTGGATTATAAATTTCACACATACCTGGGGTTCTGTGTGCAGACGAATGTGTGTGCCTCTGTGCTCTGATAAAGACCTCTTCACCACCGTGCGGTGCCTGAAGTGATAATAATCTCCAAATACCTGGAAAGAGAGAAAAAAAAAAACACAAGACTACATTTAGCTCACCACATTCTACAGACTGTTTTTTCTACTTCAATAACTTTCCAGGAATTCAAAGAGCCATTTTGTTTTGGAGATTATGAATGTTTAAACTACAACTGAAAGAACTAAAATGTCTTAAAAACATCTGTCTGACTGAATGTACACAAAAATGCACCAAAATCACGGTCTTGAATTTAATTAAAAAAATAATAATAATAAATAAATAATAAAAAAATACCTTTAAACAGACTTGCATAAATTAGATATTTTTTACTTTAAAGAGACAAATACAATAAAAGAAAAAAAAAAAGAAAAAAAAATTTATATAAAAATTGTATTAAAAATAGAATAAACAATTTGAAGAAATGTTCGAAGAATTAAGGAATAAAATAAGTCAAATAAAATAAAAAATAAAATATAAATTATATAAAAATTGAGAAATAAGAAATGAAATAAATTATTAAACATAAAATAAAAATAAAAAATTTAATAAAATAAAAAAATTAATAATAAAAATATAATTAATATAAAAAAAATAAGAATAAAATAATTCAAAAATAAAAAATATTAAAATATTAATAAAATTAAAATATAAAACAATTATAAAATAAAAATTAAAAATAAAAACTTAAGAAAATAACAACAAATAAAATAAAATAATAAATAATTAAATAATCTAACTCAAATATAAAATAAAAAAAATAATAAAATGACCACACTATACGGTATAATTCCCGCTAACAATCATTAACTTTGACTTTGCCTTAATTAAAATTAGCTGCTTATCAATAGCTTTCAATTAGTCAAAGTTTAGATATTAAGTGGAATTAGGGATGCAGAAAAAGATGTACTTTAAATAAACTAATATTTTAATAATAGGCAGGTAATAAAGTCACTAGTATTGGTGATAGAGTTGTACTTAAACTAAATTGTAACAAAAAAAGGCTACCCACTGACTTGCATATGAATATCCCTGTATTGTCAAGAACTAAATGGTAAGTAAATCGGTTTACAACCATGCCGTTTTGAACCCAAATGCAATTCTTTCACGTAAGATAAATAGAAACATTGCATTTTAAAAGAACTTCAGGAACAAAACAGACACTGGCCAACAATATACTGACATTTCTCAAAATATCTTCAGCTTCAGAAAACAAAACAAAAAATCATGATTTGCAATGATATGAAGAGGAGTCTGACTTTTGCACCCAAATATAAATGATAGTGAAGGCCACTCTTACTGCTCAACAAGCCCTATAGCAAGCTGTAAAGCCAGGCATGACCTTAAGGCTCCAGATGGAATGAATATTAAGCGAGAGAGAAAGAGAGTAATGCAGACAGCTGTACATGTCCAACAGCCTCCAGTACATGTAACACAGAAACAAAGTCAATCTCCTGTCAGCCGAATGCACAATCACACATGACAAGATCATCCGGAGGGCATCAAACCAGCACCGTTTCGGATCGATTTCGCTCTCGGCTTGATGAAAGCTCAACGTCTGGAGTGAGCCGGAGTTCATGCTGTCATGCTATAGATTCAGAGTATAGAACTGCAAAAGATCTTGAAGACATCAAAACAGCTGTACGGCATCGGCCAGGATTAGTCTAGAGATATTGACCATTCCACCAGCAACTTTAAAAGAAAGGCATCGATTGAAGAGCATTGATTCATTACAGAGTAACTTAGAGTTTAACTACACTTTTAGACCTTACACAATGCTGCAGGTCGATTCCACATGTTCGCAAAATAGAGTTGAAATGGCAGATGAAGTACTTGATTTTTTTTTATACATTTCTTTAATCTACCACACCTAAAATGAATAATTCATTGGATTTAGACATTTTTTTGAAGGCAAGTGGTTGCTACCAATCTATATGGGTTGAATTTAAACAAATTCAGTTTAGTAATGCTAAATGTGTTAGTTTAAACTCAGGCCATATGAATTCAGTCTGAATGATACAAAAATCATAAAAAGTAAAAAAAGTAAAATAATTAAATTAAATAAAACAAAAATGATTAAATAAAAATTTAATATACAAAAATATTTTTTAAAAAGTAAAATATTTTAAATAATTTAATTAAAATATTTAAGATATTATAGAATTTGTTTAAATTAAATTTAATAAAATATAAAAAATAAAATAGGATAAAATTTTTAAAAAGTTACAATTTTAAAAAGTAAAATAATTGTAATAATTTAAAAAATATATTTAAATAAAACTAAATATAAAAAATTAAATTATAAGAAAAAATAAAATGATTAATTATTTTAAATAGAAATTAAATATAAAAAGAGTAATTTAAAATAAAATTGTTGTTTAAATATTAAATAAAATATAAAGAAATACAATAAAATAAAAGGGTCACACTATACTTAAAAAATCTAATTTTCTTTTAAAAAGTAAAATAATCTAGTAAAGTAAATATCTTAATTAAAATAATAAAATATTTTTAATTAAATATATAAAAGTAAAATAAATTATTATTTTTTAAATAAAAGTTCTAAATAATTTTAAAATATAGAATTTTTTTTTATTAAATTATCTATAAAATAAAATTTAAAACACCACTAAAAAATTTAATTAAAAATGAAATGATCACACTATAATTTAAAAACAATATCATTTGTTAATTTTAATAATTAGTTAATAATTAAAAGTAAAATAAAAACATGTTAAATAAAAATCAAATATTAAAAAGTCAAATAAAAATAATTATTTTTATATAAAATACAAATTTTATATAAAACATATTTAAAAATAAAATAGAAAAAAAAATGTTTGCAACCATTTTTTAAATTGTAAATCAAATGAATAATTTTTTCAGGGCAGTTTAAATATTTCTGGATTTGGCTTATATTTACATTAAGTGGCCTGATTTACTTTTTGCTTACATGTACAAAAAGATTAATTTAAAACATACCTATTATGTACATGTTTTTTCACATTTTACTTTTTATCTGCATAGAAAATACATCTGTAATTTATTTTCAATTAGTCAATATCTAAAATTACACTGATAATCGTACTGTCCCCATTCGCGTTTATTTATGGTTGTGAATTACATTATGGGATGTTGATCTCAGCTCTGTCAACTTTTGTGTTGAAAATTCAACTCTATAGTTTAACAAAGTGACTTTTAGTGACATCTTCATCGTTTGAAATAAAATAATGTATAAGAAATAATATGTAGAGAAATTAAAATAATTAAATAACTGAAAATGTACTGGCGGTTTATGATGAGGTTTTTGTACAGTATTATACAACAACATACAATAACAACCACTAAGGCTATATTTCACTTTAAACTCTTAAAAATGTTCATAAAAGTCACTTTTTCTAACTTTCTAATGTTAAATGTTGTTAAATAAAAGATCAACGTCTCATAATGTAATTAAAAAGCTTAATTAAATGGAAAAAAATTAATAATAAAAACAAATCACAAAATGCAGCTGCTAATTTATGGATATTTTAGTGTAATATGAGAACATAATATGAGGGTTAAGCAGGAAATTGAAAAGGACAGAAAGACGAGAAACTTCTCCTTTATTCTAATGGCGGTAACTTGTAACAGGAACCCCCTGTCAGGAAGAATTGAGGCCAACAACTCTACATGTATTCTTCTATGACGTCCTCACTATACAGACCGGATTACAGCATGTTGATGCAAAAATCTTCACCCAAAAAAAGCCAGCGAGGCTACATGTCCTTGACAAAACAAATATGACAACAGGCGACCCAGTTAAAAAATATATAAAGAAGCATCAAAGCTCGGAATGATACAAAAATCATAAGAGTAAAAAAATTAAGGAACATAAAAAAGTAATTATTTTTAAAATGAACATAAAATCCTTTGTTTATTTAAAATAAAATAATGTAAAAAAATATGAAAATAAATTAAATATTAAACAATATAACATAAAATACAATAACACTGAAATAAAAATATAAAATAGGCAAACACAGTGAATGTGAAAAAAAGTAAAATAAAAATGTAGTATTTTAAAGTAGAATTAAATATAAAAATGTATTTAAAATAAAATAGAAAACAGTTAAATATAAAAATAAATATGAAAAGCATAGTCAGACTATACTTAAAAAGAAATAAAAAGCAAGCAAACACGGAATAAAAAAGAATTACAAAAACTTCAAATAAAAATTTGATATAAAACAATAATAATAAAAAAATAAATGTTAAACAAAAATTGAATTTAGGATAAAATAGAAACAAATAAATACATTAAAAAAAAGTTAAATAAAGTTAAATAGAACGGTTACTATACGTTTTTAAAAATAAATAAATAAAAATAAGCATCAAACAGAATACAAAGAGTAAAAGAGTAAAATTAATTATTTAATTAAATAAATTTTTTAAAAATAAAATGAAATAATTTTAAAATAAAAATGCCATATAACATTTGATTTGAGGATAAAATGGAAATACACACACACACACACACACACACACACACACACACACACACACACACACACACACACACACACACACACAAATGACAAATGACAAAATACAATAAAATAAAAAAGTTGGACAAAATGGTTACACTATACACTTTTGAAAATAAATAAACTACTAAAAATAAGCATCAACCATAATACAAAAATCATGAAAGCCAGTGTAAAAAGTTTGAGAAGTAAAATCAAGTTAAATAAAGTAAAAAAAAATTATAAAATTATTTGAAATTAAATAGAAAAGTTAAACTTAATAAAATAGAAAATATAAGATAACACAACAACAACAACAACAAAAAACATCAAATACCATAGTCACACTATACTTTAAAAAAATAATAATAATAATAATAAGCATCAAACACAGAACGATGAAAAATCATAAAAGGGAAGGACGTCTGGAAGATGAAACGCACTATTAAATGCCTGATTGGCACATTCGGCGGATAGCGAGAGAACAATAAGGACTGAAAATAACACAAGAATTGATTGCGAGGAAAGATAGC